CTACTACTTATGTTACTACAATAAGTAGTGAGCAATATTGCCTTTTGCTCCGAGTAGAAAGAAATACTGCTTTTTCTGTCTCTCCCTTCCCCCTACCCCACATCTTTCCTCTCTCCCTGTCTTTTACCAAGGAGAAAATATTTTCAGTTTGTTGACTAAACAGATAACAGATTCAGAAAGCCAATAGTATGATTTACCAAAGCCGTAGTGTGTATGTCAGACTTGAAGGGTTGACCAGTTAGCACAAGTTTGACTAAACTGAAGGGTCAGTTAAGACACAAACTCCATCCCTTCAGTCAAGAAGCCTGATGTGATTTGAGTTTAATAATCATTTGAATGACTTGACCTATCAGTTTAGATCAACTGTTCACATCGAGGAAGACAGGATAGGGATGGGCTGAGCTGACCCAGAGGAAGGCGCCTTTCCTAAGCATACCAGTTTGTGACCCCATTTTTCTAGGAATGCCACTTCCTGGGTACATCGCTGCCACCATCTTCATATTTGTTGTTTGAAATTTGGAAATATCCTCAGTTTGTCTCTGTTACTTCCTTAATCAAAGAGGCAAAACAAACCAAAAAAAAGCATGGGGAGAAACCCACCACTTTCCTCTGAATTCAAGGTACAAGTTGTTCATTTGTATCTGAGTGATTTTGTTTTATTTACGTCACAGTTTCAAGAACTTGCAGGTCCCATTATTGCTCTGTGTCCTGTGGTGATTGGATTTCTTTCTCTTGATTCAGGCATGACTATTGTTTTTTTGACATTGTTTAATATGAAAAGTTATAACTCTCCATGCAGTAGAGCCATTTAACCATAAACATATGAGCAAATGGACATGTGGTGATGTGTGCAAGGAGGAAACTCTTTGTCACTGTTGTTCAGCCATCTGACTGGTACTGTTTGAGAGGAGGTATGTCAAAGGCTTGATACCTGCACATGATGGAAGCATTCAAACAAGCTTTGAAGAGTATTATGCAGTGTTAACAATATTTTGGTCACAAATCAAATGTCAGCTTTAAGTGCAGTGTTTGTGGAGTCTGCCGCTCTGTATGATGTAACCCATGAAAAAACAGAAGTGCCCACACATTTCCATCAGACAGCACTTTTTTCTAAGGATCCCATTTATTTGGGGAATACTTTTATAGCACCAGCAAGTCCAGTTAGAAACTTCCATCTGCTGTACTTCTTACTGCTTCTGCTGTTTCACCATCTCCACTGGCATTAATCTCAGACTAAACCACCACCGGATTTTTGTCTAGATTCTAGCAACACCCACTGGTCTCTGCAAGCACCCTGGCCCCCTTCTGTCCATTCTCCACTCGGTTGCCAGGTTACTCAGATCAGATCTTCTCCTGCATAAAACTCTGAAATGCATTCCCATTTTTTTTTATCAGTTTGAGTTTGATCAGGGAAAGGAAACAATTATTAGTGAAATGGACCAAGGGAGTTGTTACAGAGCTTAGAACTTACTCAGTTGCTGAAAAAGTGAACTGAAAATCAATTCACTAAGTATCAGCTTGACAATTTTATCATTGCTTCTAAAACTGTAAATCAAGCGGCTCCAACCTGATCTAGGACCTGGTACAGCAGATGCAGGGGCAGGAAGAGAGCTTATGTCTGTAAAACAGGACAGTGTATTGCAGTTAAAGAAATTCCATTCATTCCTGTGTCAAACAGTCAGAGTTCTAGAAGTCTGACTCTGAAATGTGAATGGAGTTGAAATGGATATTCAACCTAGGTAGACAGAAAAATCTTAATCATAATGGCGAAGGCGAAATAGCTGTGACAAAAATATCAGTGAAATGAAACTAAAATTGCTCCCAAACTACCCACTCACCACCCAATCTCCAACAATTTGGCCAATTTGCTGTATTTTTTACAAAAGTTAATTTACACATATATTTTCAAAAAAGACCAGTCTTGCGTATTGTCTCTGGTTTCCAGCTCAGTGGTGGTATGCTGTTCTCTGATTCTGTTCCTCTTGTCTTTTTGTTCTCTATAAAGTTCTATGTTCTATTTTTTTTCCCTGTTGATTCCATAACCCCTGGAATTGGAAGAGTTGTTTCCTTTGATCAGGCTATAATAGTAATTACAACTATCCTCAGTCTCTGTGACAGCTCAAATTTCATATCTGAAATAAAACAAAGCATGTGGCAAGTGTGTTTTTAGCTCTGGCTGTCTCTTTCCCCATTGCCTTTTGTGCAGGTATACGTAGTGCTGAAGCTTCCCACGGACACTCTAAAATGCCTGAAGCCTCCTCTACGTGTCGGTGGTCACTCCTGTTTGCACAGTTGTGGTCTGTGCTTCTCATTGCCCACTACTGTCCTCCGTGCTCTGTGAATTCTCCTCTCTGTGGTGGAAGGCCATTAGCAGCCCCTTGCCTGTCGATGGAGAAGAGAACATGTTCCAGGCTGAATATAGACCAAAAGGGGCTCCCTCACTGCCCAGGACTATGAAATCTGCTTGCATGTTTTATCCACTAAAAGTCACGTGCTAGCTTAGAGCAAGGATGGCTACAGTTTGTTCTTTAATCTTTTCTTATCTTTTAAGTATGGCTTCCATTGTGTGTGATCATAGGAAGCACTGAGGAGTTCCGCCCGAGAGTGTTAGAGGAATTTCCCAGAGGAGATGACATTTCTTAAGTGATTTTTTTTTCACAAAGACTCACAGCTTGTGAGCGTGAAACTTACCAACATTGCTCTTTCAAATCTGTATCAATGAAATATGCAGAAAATACTTTTCTAGTAAAAGTGATAGTGTTTCATCAATTTATCCAACTTTCTGGTCCCTGGTGGCTCTCCAGGAACACATGTGTAAGACCATCAGCCAGAAGGCAGGAAAGAGCAAATGAACCCACACGGAATATTGAGTCTATTATTAATGGTACTTTTATTTCGTCAACTGAAGAAACTAGCGACATATGCCTTGCTCTCAGTGACAAGGAATAAGGCATTGAACGATGAGTTCCCAGGCGCCATCAATGGAAAAACATAATGCCCTGTGTGGTGACTGGCAGCTACACGGTGACCTCTAAACAGATGTCATCTTCCTTCATGGCCACCACATGAACTTCAGTCATTTATGCATTGCGGGCCAATATATGTCAAACATCTGAGTCCCAGATAATTGCAGTGGCTTGAAGTAAACTGGCCCAGAACTCAATATCCTTCTTTCTCCCACAGTGATTTGTTTTTCTCCTTGTCTTATGTATGCACTAGACCCATTACAAATTTGTCCTACACCTAGTGCTCCCCCAAATGCTCTCTTCTCTAATCAGCCACTTCCTCTGAAAAGAAATAACCTAGGAAATACATAGTAGTTTCTAGAACCAGAATAACAAAACTGCTGTTTCATGATGGTGTGTGCTATGTGCCACACACTTTTATAGGTCTTTTTCACCTGTGGTATGTAGTTTAATTCTTGTGGCAGGCTATGAAATGAGCATTCTTCTAGTTTACAGATGAGACAACTGATGCTCAGAAAATCACAGAAGGCCTTCAAAGGGATGTGGGGAGAAAACGGTTTTGGAATGTCCTTTTAAGGAACAATGGGAGACCTTTGAAAGACACTGTCTTTTCTTCAGTTCGCAGCCCATTTTGTCTGCCGTCCTCTGGGTGTGTCTCATTGGTCCTCCACGCAGACCACTGTCTCTGGCCGTGGTTTTGCTCTTGGTTGTGTAGGTGTTTGTTTGCACCACTTTCCATATCGCCCTTTTCCTTTCCAAGTGAAATCCCTTCTCTTTGGAAATGAAGAGCACTGGAATTGGAGTCCTTGCCGTCACTGATAGAAACTTGGTGAATACATAATTTGTGTTACAAATGAAAGTAAACTGAGGATAAATAGAGAGGTGTTTGCTCTTTTGAGAGAAAACAGATTCAGTTTCAGTAAATCATAGTCGCTTTCATTATGACTATGAATTTTGGCTTTTAAGTATTTTTGAAGTATATTTCTGTGTGCCCTAGACAAAAGAAAACATTGAGAATGGAGAAGTTTGTTTGTTTTGTTTTTTCATTATTAAGCCTAAATGTGCTTACCCTCCAGTTATTTTTAGGGAATAATCTGTGAAATCGTCATAGTCAGAGATTTTGTCATAATCCTCTTTATATCTCCAATTTCTTCATGGTGGACCATCAACAGAAATTTGTTCACTTGGATAGTAAATGAGTAATGGGATGATCAGTAGCCTTAGTATATTTAATTTAGCTGGAAAATGACAAATGAAACAGTTCTGATATATGGCTGCTTTTGATACAAGTTATTGATTATGAAGAGTTTTTTTAATGGAGATTATTGTTGAATTACCCAAGGAAGCTTAGCTATAACTAATGAGATAAAATTAAGCAAAAGAAAAATGTGAACTGAATATCAAGAAATATTTCCAGTAGATGAGTTTGGGATTAAATCAGGTGGAGGAGTCCCAGCGGAAGTGGTTGGGAGACATTTAACACCATGCATGTCACTTAGAGCTGCAGTGAACTTAAACAATTTACAAGCCACAGACTCTGACTTTGGCAGGATGATAAGTGAGATCGTATCTCTACGTTCATTGATTCTCTCTCTTACACTGGTATACGTTCACAGCCTCACATCCCCTATGGACAGAATTTATGTGTGTGTTAAGTTTTCTGATTATAGTTTTCTTTTTTCCAGAAAGCACTCTTTTTAGAGTATCTCCTGGTACCATCAGAAATGTCTTCCTTAAGTGGGAAAGTCCAAACTGTATTGGGCCTTGTGGAGCCAGGCCAACTGGGTCGTACGCTGACCCATGAACATTTGACAATGACTTTCGACTGCTCTTACTACCCACCTGCTCCATGCTATGAAGTTATCTCCAAGGAACCTATTATGATGAAGAATTTATTTTGGATCCAGAAGAACCCTTATTCCCATAAAGAGAATCTGCAGTTGAATCAGGAGACAGAAGCCATCAGGGAAGAATTGTTGGATTTTAAAGCCAAAGGTGGAGGAGCTTTGGTGGAAAACACAACCACTGGGATTAGCCGAGATGTGCAGACTTTGAAGTGGCTTGCAGAAGAGACTGGAGTCCATATCATATCAGGAGCTGGGTTTTATGTGGATGCAACCCACTCTTCAGATACCAGAGCCATGTCAGTGGAGCAGGTAAAAAGCCCTACATTCTTGGACAATATTTGCATGCAAATTCAGAATAATCAGAATGTCAGTCCATGGGTTATCCCTACATGTCATCTACATTTGGAAATGTCATTGGCTCAGAGGCACACTATTGAAATTTGCTAGCAGAGGCATCTGTCAATGGAACCTAAATTAGGAACATTTCATTTCATAAAGAAAAAGTGTCCAGGAAGGAGATCTTAATGCACTGGTCACCAGAAAACCCAACATGTTTGTACTTAGATTCATGTATATCATATCCACGCTCAGTCGTGGTGGCAGAGCATGTTTGTAAACCTCAGTTTTCCATTATAAACTTCAGTTATGCAACCTCAATTTTCTTTCTGGATTTAATAATAACCAGCAATAAAAATTCACTGTAGGCTGAAACTTGGCAGGCAGAGACTTGGCACATTTGTGAATAAGTTTCTTTCTCCTTTTACAAAACAGGAGGGGTAGGAGAAAATCCATTTTCCTGTTTCTATCATCATAAAATCTTAGGCAAGAAGGGGCAGAAGGAAAAGGAAATCTTTCAGGGACAAAAAGAAAGAATAAGCCACAAAGCTTTTTGCATGTGTGTGTGGTCTTTCTATACTACATGTAGTATATATTCCCATGTGTTTACTCATATATGTATACTTTCCTTTATATCTTCCATTGCCTGTTTGATAGGCATAGTATGTCAGCTTCAGTCTTTGCAAAGAATCAGTAAATCCTTAAAATACTTTATATATCAAAATTTTAGCTGCATTTTTTTCCCAGTCAGGCCTTTTTCTTCTTATATATTATTTGAAAACTATCCTGATTGTCAGGAATTACACATTCCTGTAACCACTCTTAGCAGTAAACATAAGTACAAGCCAAAAAATGTCATCTTAGTATATTGTATGCCATGAATTTGAGTTGCTGAAGATGGTCAAGGACAAAATAAATAAGGGAAAATTAAAGAATTACTTGATATGGCTGATATCGATTCAAAAGCAGTCTTTTTACATTCTAGATGCCCCTTAGGTTAAATTATAGATTTTTTATCTCAACAAATGAATATACAATGAATGTACTCTCAGTAAGTTACATTTTCCCCTACAGTTTCCTAAAGCCTTGAATTTCTTGTTAAATAATCACAGTAACATACTATTGGATCTTTGATTTAGAGTAACTTGTTGAATTTGTGATTTGGCTAACAAAATGCCTTCCTCATTGGCCAGTATTAACTGAATGAAAGTGGAGATATTTTTTTTAAATGACTGAATGAATAAATTCATTCGCATAGTGTGTTGATAAAATCTGCAGGCTACAGATTTTCATTCTCACACTTCCTTAGCTTACTGATGTCCTCATCAATGAAATTCTTCATGGAGCTGATGGAACCAGTATCAAATGTGGCGTTATCGGAGAAATTGGTTGCTCCTGGCCTCTGACTGAGAGTGAAAGAAAGGTTCTGCAGGCAACAGCTCATGCCCAGACTCAGCTGGGCTGTCCTGTTATTATCCATCCGGGAAGGAACAGAAGTGCCCCATTTCAGATTATCCGAGTGTTGCAAGAGGCTGGTGCAGACATCTCCAAAACAGTAATGTCACACCTTGATAGGTAAGCAGACCATCTACAAATCGCTGCAAGCCATCACATGCTTAATGGATGACCAAATAAATAAAATCATCAGATCGATGAAATTCTAGAGAAAACAACTAACTACGTGGAAGATAGTATTTATTTATAAAGTTTTACCACAGACATTAATAAAGGTCAGCAATGCTATTTTTGTCCGTACTTTGTGTCAGATAGGATCCCAGGTATTTTGCGTAAGTAATTTCTTTTAATTTTGTTAACCCTTCATAACCCTTTATGGTAAGTGTCCCTGCTTTGTGTCAGGTCATGTGATGTCACAGTAGCTGCCAATTTCACATGCTCAGGATTGGCAAGTAGTTAGAGAGATGAATTTATCTACAAATATAAAGGGAAGGGAAAGTGGTTTTACCTTAAGAAGACCACAGACATAAACGTTTGGGTTTGCTGTTGTGACTGGTGGTTTGAAACATCTGCATTTTGGAAAAGTCAATGCTAAAAAAATAATAGTAATAAGTCTATTATTTGTTTGGTGGTATTCTGTCTTAGTTAACCATGGCTACTATAACAAATTCTAAGAAACTGGGAGGCTAAAACAACAGAAATGGATTCTCTGGTTGTTCGGGAGGCCAGAAGTCAGAAATCAAGGTGTCTTCAAGGCTGCCCTTCCTCCACGGATCTACAGGAGGGGTCTCCCTTGCTTTCCCCAGTGTCTGGTTATTCCAGGCATTTTTGGCTTGTAGCCAGCCACCTGACTTCAATTTATGCCTCTGTCTTCATGTGACCTCCTCCTGCCTGTCTGTGTCTTTTCTTATAAGGGCACTTGTCATAGACTGAGTGCCTACCCAGATAGTTCAGAATGATCATCTCAAGGTCCTTAACTTAATTATATCTGCAAAGACCCTTTTCCCAAATAGTGTCACTTTCAGGAACTCCGGACATTAAAACATGGACTATCTTTTTGAAGCCCACCACTCAATCCCCTCATGCTATATTAGATGTGCAGAGGTCAGCAAAATAATTGACTATAGAAACAGACATTGGCTGTGGTTAATTTTATAAAGAAGCCTAACAATATTGCCAAGGCCAGATGGCTTTTAGATTGAACTGATTAAGGAATTAACACAGTATCAATGAGACTAATAATACAGTTATTTCCATCGTACAAAATGGAATAAAGCCATTATTAACAGACTGGTAAGTCTTGGTCATCAGACTCGACATTCTGCTATTTAGTAAACTAACGATCCTGCAGAACATATTGATAAAATGCTTCATCTTAATAAAAATACTGTAAAGTCCTGGCGAGACAAAAATGAAAACATGTTACAGTTGGGGCAGAACAGAGAAGCCAGGGTTAATGGGGAACCTGAGGGACATCGAGGGAAAGGCAATTGTGCTGGCAGCTGGGTTGGTATCGAGATCAATACTTGGCCATCTTAAGAATCTTCTAGTTGTACTGCTAAAATAGAAGAGTGCATCTGGAGATTGGGCATAGAGGTAATGCCATCAGAGTGTGAAGAAAAGAATCTTTGGACCCAGAGACACCTGCTTTTAAATCTTGCCTCTACCATTTGCTATGAGATCTTGGGTAGCTTCATTTGAATTTAAAATAATGTATTTGATAATATCCTTTTGTATGATATGGAATATATGTAGGCTTTAATCAATAAGGATGATTTTTAATACTTTTTAAACAGTGTGAAGTATATCAGACATACAAAAGAGTACAGACAATATATTTTTTACATTTTTAAAAATATGTATTGGGTTCTTAAAAACATTGTGTTCTTCTGCCATTATATAAATGCTCTCTCTGTATCCATTAGACCACAGTTGTTAATCATATTCAAATATTCTATATTCCTACTGATTTTTTGACTGCTTGATCTATTGGTTACTATGAGAAGTATGCTAAAATGTCTCCTGGTGGATTTTTAGTAACTGTACATATTTCAAATTTTACTTCATATATTTTGAAGCTCTGTTATCACATGCATACAAATTATGTCTTCCTAATGAACTGAAACTTATATCAACATATATTGAACTGCTTCATTTTGTAATGTACTAGAGTTTTTTTTTTGTTTTAAAAGCTGTTTTATCTGATGTTAGTGTGGCTATACCAACTTTTTGTGTTAGTCCTTATAATTTAGATACATCTTACATAAAATATATGTGGCTGGGTTTGAAGTTTTACCCAATCATTCTCTTTTTTTACCATGGAAAATTCAGTTTGTTTATATTGATTATGTTTATTGATATGTTTATTTCACTTTTTCCTTTCATCATAGTTATTATTGTTGAACTTTCTTGATTTCTTTTTGTTTTATTTTCACCTCCATATTCTATTCGTCCCCTTTACTTCTTTAGAAGGTATGTATATTTATATCCTATTAGTGGTTATAGTAGAAAATTTAGCATGTATGTTTAACACATCAAATTTTTAAAATGCTAAATATGGTAAATATTTTTTACCCTTCTTCCTAGTAATACAAAGTCTTTAGAACTCTTCAATCTCAATTACTCACTGTCTAACTTCTATGCTATATTTTCCAGGATATGGGGTTTACTTGATTTTTTTTTAAAAAGTCTCAGTGATTAGACATTATTTTATTACTATAAAACATGTAAATGGTCAATGTATATTTAGATTCACTTTTTTTGTTTGCTTTTTTCTTTGCTTACCATTTCCTCTCACATTTCAGATCTTTATCCTTGAATTATTACTTTTTTCCTGAGGCACATCATTTGAAGATGGTCTGTTTTGGTGATAAATGCTTAGATTTCATGTGTCTGCAAATGCCTTTGGTCCTTCATTCTCAAGAGATAATTTAATTTAATAATTTATAATAATGAATTAGAATAGAGAATTCTATTTAGAAGTTACTCTTTCTAAGCCCTCTAAAGCTATTCCATTTTCAGCTGACACATATCATTGCTGTTATGTCAGCTCAGACTAATTGTGCTTCCTCTGAAGTAATCTGTCTTTACTTTCTGACTACTTTTTACCATCTTTGTCTCTGGTAGTCTGTATTTCCCCTGTGCTCTATCTCAGTGAGAATTTCTTTTTTACTTTGTATGCTTGGAATTCTTGCATAGGAGAATATTTTATCATCATTTATGGAAAATTTCAGCCATTGCCTCTTCAAATATTGTTTCATCCGTATTTCCTAGTATTTGTATCATAAAGTATAACTTGATATATGTAGTATCTTTTTACCTGTCTCTCATGTTTCCATCCATTTGCATCTTTGAACTGTAATTTCTTCGGATCTATCTTCCTATTTTCTACTTCTCTCTCCAGTGGCATCACTCTGCTGCTTAGCCTATCAATTTAGTTTATAATATTAAAAACTATAGGGTTTTTTTCCTTCTATAAGTTCTGTTTGGTTACTTTTCAAATCTCCTTGGTTACTTTTGATAATTTCTTTTTCCTTCAACATGTTTTCAACTCCATCTTTAAAAAATATTAAGCATACAGTATTAATCTTGTAATTAATAAATCTAATTTCCACTGTCTTTTTGCTCCGATTTCATAGTTTGTTGGTTCCTCTGGTCTTCATTCATTATTTCCTTATAAAATAATTACTGTGATCTTCGATTCCTTGGAAATTACTGAGAGTCCTGGGTTGGAGAGTTTTTTCCCTGGTTTTTTGTTTGTTTGCTTTCTTTGTTTCTTATACACAGTTAGGGGGTATTACCAACCTGAAACTACTTTAAACTAAACTTTTCAATTAAAAAGAATTTTTTTTACTGTGGTAAAATATAACAACATAAGATTTACCATCTTAACCAGTTTGAAGTGTCAAGTACAGTCATGTTCAGTACACTCACACTGTGGTGCAATGAAGCCCTAGAATTCTTTTTGCCTTGCAAAACTAAAACTTCACACCCACTAAGCAACACCTCCATCCCCCTGCCCCTGGCCCAGGGCAGCCATTCTACTGTCTGTCTCTATGAATGTGACTGCTCTAGGTACCTCATCCAAGTGGGATCATACCATATTTGTCTTTTTGTCAATGTTTAAACTTTTGAGGGGCTTAAAAACACACAAGTGCTATGAATTCTGGCCCCTAAACTCAGTGAGTGGAGGCTTGTGGTTATAGATTACCATGGGAGACTTTTTTCCCAATTGCCTCCCCTCCGCCAGAAGACAAGAGTGAGGAAGATATATAATCTCCAAAGACTCCTTCTGTGGGCCAAATTTTTACTGAGTCCACCCACTGTTTGTGAGTGAGAGGAGTACTTCTTTTATGTGCTGGCAGAGGCTGTGTCTCCAATTTATCTCCCACCGTATTCAGCCCCAGCTCTTTCTCACTCGGCCCTTTAAGAAACCCCAGGCATCGGAAAAAAAACAAACAACCTGATTAAAAACTGAGCATAAGACCTAAATAGACCTTTTTCCAAAGACACATACAGATGGTCAACAGGCACGTGAAAAGATGCTCAGTATCATTAATCAACAGAGAAATGCAGATTAAAACAATAATGAGGTATGACTTCACACCTCTCAAAATAGCTATTATCAGAAAGAACACAAATAACAAATGTTGGCAGGGATGAGGAGAAAAGGGAACCCTTGTACACTGTTGGTGGGAATGTAAATTAGTGCAGCCACATAGAAAACAGTATGGAGGTGTCTCAAAAAAACTGAAAATAGAACTATCATATGACCAGCAAGTCCACTCCTGGGTGTATATCCAACAAAAACAAAAACACTAATTTGAAAAGATACATGCACCTCAATGTTTATAGCAGCATCATTTACAATTGCCAAGATATGGACGCAACCAGGTGTCCATCAACAGATGAATGGATAAAGATGATGTAGTGTGTACACATACACACACACACACACACACACACACACAGGATGAAATACTACTCAGCCATAATGACTGAAATTTGGAGGGTAGTATGTTAAGTGAAATAGAGAAAGACAAATACTACATGATATCACTTATATGTGGAATCTAAAAAATATAACAAACTAATGAATATAACAGACAAAGAAATAGACT